TCCAATCGCCGTGACCACAGTCCGTACCGCTATAATTGTAAAATGGTGAAACTCCAGTTCGGGGGGGCCACTCCATTTTTTCTCCAATACTCAAGATAAGGATTAGAGGGCTCACGACACGTAATCGACTCATTTAAAGTAGACTTCTGATAAATATTGGTGTAAATGGGTGAGAAACCCTGAAACGTTTTCACATTTCCGCCTGCCATGACCCAAGGGAACGGTCCTGGACCAGGAGAAAGGACACCTCCGCAAAGGGCTAAGGGTGCAGGAGCTCCAGGGTGGATCACCTGTGCAGAAAAGTGGATGGGATGTGGGCAGGTAGTGTGGAATGTAGGACATCCACCGGTCCTTATCAAAAGTACGCTCGAAATGAGTCGTTCACTTATTATCTTATCCGTAGTGTTCGATAGCCCAAAGAACTGCTCTCTAGTACTACGGATAAGATAGCAATGGAGTGCCCCCCCCCCCCCCCCCGAACTGGAGTTTCACCGTTCCAGTGTATCCCATTACGCCATACTTTTTAGGTAAATTATTGTTTGTAAAGGTCGTCCCTTACTTCAATTAGCCGCGTTCTGAGTAGAAAGCGCTCAGTGGAGTGATAAGCGTTGGCGATATTATCAATTGAATTATACACGACAGTATATACGCCATATGAGGGCCAAGTAGTGTCATAAGAAGAAAAAGTTCAGCCTACGGTAATGCACACGTCATTGGGGGGAGAAGTGGCTATCGATTTCCTAATTGAGTAACTTTTTGTGGCGCTTCTGATTGGACTGACGTTGAGCCTCTATCAGAATACAGCTAGCGATTCTATTTATAGAGAAGAAAACGGAGAAGAAACTTTCTCATACGAAGGAAGAAACCCTTTTTCACTCTAGTTATTTTCAGCGCTGTAGGATCAGCGTCGGCTCGGTGAAATCTACAAAAATTAAATTATATTTTTGTTGTGTTTTGTTTATTTGACTTTTCTGTTTGTTCCTCTTTTTTGTCTAATCTGAGTTAATATTGTCGCAGTCTCGCTAGTTCCCATCATCGCCTGCCTATAGCGCGTCTTCGGACGCAGAGTAAATAAATAAATAAATAAATAAAAAAATGAA